CCCCCCCCCCCCCACCCCCCCCCCCCCCCCCCCACCCCCCCCCCCCCCCACCCCCCCCCCCACCCCCCCCCGCCCCCCCCCCCCCCCCCCCCCCCCCCCCCCCCCCCCCCCCCCCCCCCCCCCCCCCCCCCCCCCCCCCCGCCCCCCCCACCCCCCCCCCCCCCCCCCCCCCGCCCCCCCCCCCCCCCCCCCGCCCGGCGCCCCCGCCCGCCCCAGTTTACAGACAGTTCTCGAATTCACACAGATTTCAAATCTAGCCGAACAAACTCTTGATGAATCAGCAAACTGGACTTTACAGAGCCACTTTGGGATTAAAAATCATGAGGAAATTTCAATTTTGTCTGGTCTATGTCTGCTTCAGCATATCTGTGCTAAAATTTTCAGTTCAATAGGATGAAGTTTCGATGAGCTGGTAGTGTACATAGATTCGACGAAACCCGAGATGAAAGTCATGTTTTATGAAAAAGTCAAATGTTAGTTGCTGTTTTTTTGCTTTGCATACCACTTCATAATCTCACCTTCTCTTTGGACGATATATAGTTTATCAATGAGAAGTAGCCTTAATAACTCGAAAATTGTGTGTCGGTTTTTAGGTTTGTAATTCACGTGCATTACGAGCAGACATGATAATCGGCACTTTTAAAGTATGTTTCTATGTGTCTAAGTTTCTTCACGAACTAAAAAGTAAAAGCATTATAATTCAGGTGGATCTTGGCTTTGTATATGCACAACTGAAGCACTCAGTTATTCGTAAATGGTTATTATTGGCGAATGATGATGATCGTACGGCTAGTGCTAAAGGCTATTTAAAAGTGTCAATAAATATATTAGGATCAGGTGATGAAGCACCAGTAAGTAAAATTCAAACGAGATTTTGTTCTACTACTTTAATTGAGATTATATTAATAAGAAAGAGGAATTCTAGCGAAAAACAGGGCAGCATTCCATCGGCTTTCACCTTAAATTTGGAAATCAATTTCATTTGAAGGAACAGAAAATTCTAATAAAAAA